GTAATATTTAGATTAGTAAGCTAAATTGGCATTTGGATATGCCAGTGGGATATTCCATATCATACCACATCATGTCCAGTATATTAGTGAGAGTCTTTTCCTCTTTTGACCTCTCTGGCTTTCGCTCGGGCTCTTGCTCTTCCTGGATTGCAGTTTCAGTTTGGGATTGTCTCTCCTCCGGGGTCGTTATCTGGGAACAGGCCGGGCTTAGTTGGTGGGTGGTGAGCAGTTGTATTGGGTATTGCTCGTTTGCATATTTTGTTACTGTTATCATTATCACTACTATTTTAATATTAGTATTATTTGGGGTTTTATTTTCTTTCTATTATTAAACTGTTCTTATCTCAACCTACAAGCCTCCTTACCCCTGCTCCCCAGTCCTCTCCCCTAATCCCTGGGGGTGGGGGGGCAGTGGGTGAACAGCTGTGTTGGTTGCTAGCCAAGGGCTAGCCCAGTGAAACTATCACATACTGTTACCAACATGTTCCTAAGCTCAGCAAAATAAAAAGATAAGCAGTGCTACCAGCAAAACCTCTGTGACCCGCACAGGAGCTCGCTGCTTAATAACTTCTATGGCTATAGCACACTGAATGCAAAACTGCTGTTGTCTCAGGCCCCACGTTGGGCACCAAAAAGGACTGTGGTAGGTTGATGTAGCCTGAATGCCAGGTGCCCACCAAGCCACTCTATCACCCCCCTCCTCAGCAGGATGGGGAGGGGAGAAAATAAGATAGAACAAAAACCCCAAACTTGTGGGTCGAGACAAAAGTCAGTTTAATAGAAGCAAAGCAAAACTGCCTGCACAGAAGCAAAAGAACAACATACTTATTCTCTACTTCCCATCAGCAGGCGATGTTTGGCCACTTTAAGAACAAAATATTTATTCTCTACTTCCCATCAGCAGGCCATGTCTGGCCGCTTCCCGGGAAGCAGGGCTTCATACATGTTGCAGTTTCCCAGGGAATGCCCCCTCTTCCCCCTCCGTTGCCCTTGCTTTTATGTCTGAAAGACATCATATGGTCTGGAATATCCCTTTGGTCAGTGTGGGTCAGCTGTCCTGGCTGTGTCCCCTCCCAAGACCTTCTCCACTCCCAGCCTACTTGGAAGAGTGAATGTTGGAGAGCCAGCCTTGGTGCTGTGCGAGCACTGCTCAGCAGTAACCAAACCACTGGTGCGTTATCAACACCTTTCTAGCTACTGACACAGAACACAACACTCTGAGGGCTGCTGTGGGGAAAATTAACTCCATCTCAGCCGGACCCAATACATGTAATTGCTGCGACTCTTCACCAGGAGGGTAGTGTAACACTAGAACATGTTACCCAAAAAGTCTGTGGGATCTTCATCCTCGGAAGTTGTCCAGATAGTACTAGACAAAGCTGTAGCTGGCCCTATTTAGTGTTGCAAATAGGTGACCTCCAGAGAGCTTTTTGAACCAGAAATTCTGTGATTCTGAGTTATTAAGTAATCAGTGGGACTGCTTACTCGGCTTCTTGGTGATATCAGATAAATATGTTAATACAAAACCAAAATGGAAGCATCTTTCACTGCTCTCACTGTTTTCCAAGTGCAGACTGGCTCATGTGCGCAGGCAAGCAGTGGTTTCCCCCAACACTCCTTTCTCTCTGCACTTTGGTGGCAGTAATGCACTAAAGTGAAGCCACTAAACATGAAATTCGTAGAACTATTTCACTTACATGTATAACTCTTACCAGGCTGCCTGCTAAGTTTAACAAATAAAGAATTGTATATCTGGAAAAGTTCAGGGGACAGGACAGGATAAAAGAGTTAGCTACAGGTGTAGGTAGAAAGATTGGTGTGCGTTATTGCCAATCCCACGTATAAAAGCAGTAGAGCTAGTGGATTTTGAGACACGCACCCTGGTTTCACAGCAAAACCATCACCCCTGTTACAGCACAATGAAGTCTGCAGGAATGCCTTTTAACAATCAGACAGCACCTTGTATCTTTTCCTTAGCACAGTCATGTCTCAGCTGCAACCATACATGATAACCACAGTTACCCACATATTTACAAGCCAAAATTTTTGATAAATAGTTAAATTTAGTGTTCAGACTGCGTGGTGGTATCTTATAATCTTCCATGTTGTCAACTTTAGAAAAACTTAAATCTTTTGGCATTTAAACCTTTGAGGTTTAAATGTTAGAGGACATGCAAACTCAGCCATAACACTGTTGCCCCAGAATTGTTAATAACCACAGGAGGTTCTCTCTGCTGTCTCTGATTGTGTTGAGTGGTGGAAGGGAGCAAATCAACACTGTTGTTGTGATGAAAGAGTTAATGAATTTTCCCATAAGAAGTACAAGAGGGGTCTTCTAGTGCCTTAGTTTATCTGTGACCTGGAACATATGATGGAAAGCAAACTGTGATTCATAACTATTTTTTAAATACAGTGCTTAGTAGGGTGCATGTGTGAGTAGCAAAGCAGGAGAGCCTTGTACTCTCGGGGTTTTAAGCAGTGAGGTGAAGTATGACAGCGGTACGGAAGTTTTTGGTAAGGTAGAATTGCACATTGAATCTTGTACATAAGGGCAATAGAATTAAGAAATTAAAGAGATGTAGCTTTATCTATGTGGATTATGGGGTTTTTTAAAGTATGGTGGGTATAGATAATTGCTATTCACTACAGTGCACCTAAATATCCTAATTTAACATAGAAAAGGTCATTAGATCTTGATCTTCAAGAGATTTTTGCGCCCTTTTCCCTCAGAATTCTACACTGTCTTCAGGAGTGCTCGTGGTTTTGGTGTTGGTGCACTGGGTCCTCTGGGACAGAGAGGTGATGGAGGAAGGTACTTTAATCCTGTATTTCTTCTAAGTTTTGCTGAGGTCTGTTTGTGGAAGGTCACAAGATCTTTC